ATTATATCATTTACGACTAATTTGTGTGTATTTATGTAAAATCTTTATTTATTATATTCTAATCCAAAATCGCATCCAACGCTAATTATAAGCATCTTTTAATTTCTATTGAAATTAAATCAAAAGTAATAACTATACAGTACTATTAACTTGTAATTAATTAACTCCGTAAACGAAGGGAATCCCTAAAATTATTTGCATGAGAAGTATAATAAAACAGTAACTAAGGTAAACATTACATTCGGGAATGAAGGATTAGCCAAGTCCAAGAATATATATAATATAGTTGAGATGTTCAAATACATTAAACCATTACTGTTAGGTCAGGAAAAAGAAACTGCGTTTAAAAATATTTTTTTGTACCGTTTTGTCTTCAATTGCTTTTGTTATGGGAACAAAGGAGAAACAATTTTTTATTTCACATAAAGTGTTTTACAGACCAATTAAGTCGCTGGCACACAAAAACAGGCTGGAACTGGAGTAGTTTGGACTTGTCAATACTTTACTTTGGATTCATTGCTGATGATGAACTAGACACACTGTCTGTTGTTGTTTATTGCATTGTTATCGTTTCACAATTTAACGTAATGTAATCTAAGACGTAAATATTCTGTGATTGAGGTAGGATTGAATATTACGTACGTTATGAATAAGAATCGATTGTAAGAATTACCACGTACTAGTTATCAGTTGTGATGTTCATTGTAATAAGAACAAAGATTTGTTTGATGCACTTCTTTGTTTATGTGTGATGCAATCCTCTCAACATGATGTCAGATAATTAATTTTTATACAAACATTTTAAGTAAGTGTGAAGTAACATTTAAACCAAACCGCTCCACCAGACTGCTCATTGTGATCCACACTAACCTTCTATATTACGTACACATAACAACTACAGAATTAACAGTAATGGACATATATATAAGGCATGGCATACAAATGAACATAATTAACTTTTTCTAAACAAAAGGTTCAGTTTATCTTCCGCTTGTATATAAAAATCTAAAATTCATCATAAGAGCAACAAACAGACAATGTCAGTCACGAACGCAGTTGTTTCGACACTTTGTACTCGTATATAAACTTTAACAACCTTGTGTTCTCGGCAATGGATTTTCGCAAAAAGATATAAACTTGGAAAAAAGTCATTGTATCGTCAGATATATGATTCTCTATAAAGTCCATTTGCTTAAACATATATGTTAGATTGCTAAAGTTTTTTTGCTATTATTGTCGTAATTATGATCGCAAGATTTCGCTAATTGTAGTATACGAAGCTGCTCTCGAATGATCGCTGTCTCAATGCTGTAATAATTCCCGTAGTTCAGAAAACATGTTAGCATGCAGCTTCATAATATATCACGATGAATATTTTCTAACGATATACATAATTTATGTTTCAATTATCAAACTAGGTCAGTAGCTAATAATTGACAGAATTTAATTTTGGCTTGTGCAAAGTGTGGTTGAATGTCGGCTGTGTACAGAGATAGCCAAATAATACAACATTTCAAACTGGTTGAATAAACAAAAACTTAAAATCCTTATGCAGGTCATGCTTATCGTGCTTAAAAATATAGTTATAACAGGAAGATTATAGAGCTCCGTAAGTGTAACCGAAATTGTCGGATATCGGCAATAAAAATCTATGCGTAAGCGGTCCGATATAAATGTTTCGAATATATTTCGGATAGTCTAACTGAGACATGTTATTAGATTTTTGTTTTTGCCTGGTCAAGCCGCACATTAGCTGCGCACGTCCCTTGCTTTGTTTATTGTTTTTATTAGTCATAACTAGGCAGTCGGCAATGACTACGAGGACTGATTTATGTATTGTACCTATTAATTCCTATAAAATATAGAATTATATCTATACAAATAAATAAAATTGGAGTGTCTGTTTGTAATATTAAAATACCCGTTTTTTACTAAATGCATATGTATGTTTACACGGTACATATGCCAAAATAACATTTTTTTCAATTTTTGTCTGTCTGTCTATTTGTTCCGGGTAATCTCTGGAACGGCTGGACCGATTTCGACGGGACTTTCACTAGCAGATAGCTGATGACATAAGGAGTAACTTAGGCTACTTTTTTTTGACTAGCTTCGCCCCGCGGCCTTGCCCGCGGTTATAACAACAAACGCGGGTAACACCGCGGGTCTCAGCTAGTATTAGATAAAAAGAATAACGAAACTATTATAAACAAGATCAATCTTGTTTATAAAATTTTTGTTTTTGAATTTTCAAGTAGATAACATTTAGAAATGAGTGGGAATACTAATTAGGTATTTGACCGATTGTAGTACCAAATGATGTTGAAAAAAAGCAATTTTTTCTTTTTTACTTTACTTTTTTTTTCCAAACTAGGTTGTGAACGGTTTAAGACTTCTACGTTACGGCTGAACTTCGATTTTTTCGGTCTCACTCAATGTGTTATGAATGGCCAACTATTATAGTTTCACAATTCTGCAATGAGTTAACCCGCTCTACTCCGTTACCACTCAGCCACGAGCCCCTCAATCAAATTGTTATCTATTCGTAGTTTATTGTAGTAATCGTTTATAACATTTATATCCGAAACTATCCTACTATAAAATGTTAACGGATAAGTCGATGTAATTTCGTATCCTTACCTGATTTTGAATTTTTATATCTATTAACTCCTAATTTATAAGTAATATTTGGAGTTGTCTTAGATGAACTGATATATATGTCAAAATTAGGGTCAATGAAATATAGCCTCGGATCTACGATTTTGTCGAGCCGGGGCAGAAACTTCATTATAGCGCCCCTCTCAGCAGCGTTTGAAATAAATAACTTAAAAAACTCACAAATATATAAATAATGGTTGGCATTTTTCATGATTGGGGCCACAATAATTAAATTGGTGGCGTTGCATGCTAGGCGATTTGTTGAGCAAGTTCTTTTTTATATTAAACCGTATTATATATGATGTTACGGGTGCCCCTGTTTGTCCTGCCCCTCCCCCCCTCGCTTCATAGATCCGGGGCTGATGAAGTATAAAATTTGTAGGTGTTGAAATCTAATTTGCCGTCTTAAATATCAATGTTTTCTGTTTGTTCCAATCTATTTTTAAAATACTTGCTATAAAATAATTTTGTTCGTAATGAGCTCTCTTTTCGCTTTATAAAGAAGGCATGGTTAATAAAGGCTGAAAATCGTAAAATCAAATCTTAAAAATAACAATAGTACCAAAACATCTTCATGCTATTTGCTATAACTTTCTCCTATTTATAACTCTGTAGAAAAATAAATTCTACAACACAAATATACATATTTTACAACAATATAAGTACATATTTATATAATCTCCGGAATCGAACCTGCTTTGCAATTGAATGCTTTACCGTCGAGTCATATATATACATAGGCCGGATAAACTTAGTACTTAGTACCTATTTATATGGATAATGAGCAATAAGGATAAAACATCGCATTCGCTTAAGCGTAATTATGACAGACTAAGCTTTTGTTTTTATACTTGTAGATGAATCAACTGAACGATGAAAGTAACATTTATGTTATGAAATTTTATTTGTTGTATTAACTAATAACTTACTAATGACATTTTCTTTTCAGCAGCCATAAATCTATGAATTGTCAAAACTCAGAGATTCATAAATTGAAATCCACTTTTGGAAAAGTTGGTATTAAACATTAAAACTGAATTACAAGCACAAAACATTGCTGTTTGTAATACAACAAGTAGTTGCGTCATCCGGGTCACAATACGGGACAAGATTCAAGTTCGTTCACTTTTTACTCATAAATCCATGGATGGCTCGTCTAAATATGTATATTGGTATATTATGTAGGACGTAGGTGTAGCATTGAATGCGGGCCGACGATTAAAAAAGACCTTCCAATGGAACAATGACGCTTTGATGTAGGTAGCATGCACAGTGTATTTACGCCATCTGATAAACGTTTTCGCTGTCTTTAAGTAAAAGAGAATAGTGGCTATAATGGCGTAATTTTTTCGATATTTATGGTTGACTTATTGTGTGGCTGACTGTATTGCTTAAGTATAGGCACTATAATGTTCAGATCGTCGCACGCTCAGCCTCGAATAATATTATTTTTAGCCGCAGGAAGGTTCTTTGGTGGGTTTTCCGCACACATATCTATACAACATGATGCTCAACCCGATAGGACTCTACTGAATATTTAAGAATATTCTAGTTCCGTATTTAGCTTAGCTATGTATTTATAACTATTTCTAACTGAAACTTATCTATTGTAATCTCTTAGTTAAATATTAGATTTACCATCCTAAGCCTTTGCCTGGTGTTAGTTCTTATCGCTTGTGGTTTGCTTAAGAATAACATCGATATCTTAGTAGGATGCTATGTAATAGAAATCTAAGTTAACGATTTTGGTTGACCTAAATATAGTAGTTTCATCTGCGTCAGTCATCATTAACATAATTGTTGTCTTTCTCTGATCCCCCGGTGAGTATTTGGGATAGGAAGGTAACTGATAACGTTTTACTGTTGACGCTTGGTGGACTGTGATGCATGTTGCATTTCCACATACAAAGAAAAGCCCAAGTTTTTTGCTATTTTCGTTTAAACTAAAATCTTTCTAAAGAGATCCGAGTCTTTCTAAAATAATATTACAAAGCTAAATAGTTAGTATGTAATGCCTTTATAGCTGGAATTGCAAAAGTCCGTCTGAATCCAATTTTAAAAGTTAACCATATACAATTTACCCAGGTTAGCAACCATTCACAGATACATTAGCATCTATTATTTCAAGCAAAAAAACATTTACACTTATTTGGCTCAGTGGTGGCGCTTTAAACTGTTATATCAAGTTTTGTAGGTTTTATTCCTGCTTAATGCAATGTGCTGTCATTATTCCGGGTGTTGTGAAGGAGAAAAGGAGGGTCCCTTTCCTTTAGCATTTTAATAGAGCAACCAAAGGAGTTCTATTGATCGATATTTGATTAATTACTGTAATTAATTTCCAGGTACATGAAGGCGATGTAATAGGCTTCGACATCTCTAGCAATGGCAAATTTATGATGTCATGTTCGTCAAATAACGACATGGTTATATGGGATCTCAAAGGTCAACAACTAAACAGGCTCGATACATATCTGATGACGACACACACGGCAAAAATATCACCCTGTGGCCGCTTTGTTGTGGCGACAGGTTTTGCACCCGACGTAAAAGTGATGGAGGTGTGTTTCACAAAGAACGGGGAATTTAAACAAATAACAAAGGCGTATGAGTTGACCGGTCACTCTTCGGGTGTGTACGACGTAGCCTTCGATGTCGACACGTCACACATCGCCACAATATCGAAGGATGGCACGTGGAAGCTATATCACACAAAGAGTAAGTATGCACATAATGTTTAATGCGCAGTGCTTCCGTATTGTCACTTGCATTTTACGTAGGAATAAGCAGTATTGAGACGTGACTGGAGAGGAGAACATATAGTGGCGTGGATGTGACGTTGAGTTTGTCAACCATTTGCATGATTTGTTTGAGAAACTTTAAATAAACTAGGACCTAACTAGAAATACATATAATGTTCCTTGGCATTTGAATCGAGACTAATAAGTTATACAATGCAACATTAAAGTCTTAACAATTTAGCATCCTACTTTACTAACTACTACTACTACTAAACTAAACATGTACTTGAAGACCGTGTTCTTCCATCTGCTTTCTCCTAGGTTTCTTATTTCCACTCAAAGATCTAAGTTTTCAAAATAGATTATATATATATATCTCAATGCGTTTTATTTACCTTACAATGTGTTAATATTTTGAGAACCTTGACTCTACAGGTTTTCTTGTCATATATTATTTGAAATATTCATCTGTCACCATCATCAGCCTATAGCAGTCCACTGCTGGACTGCCTCTCCAATTGCACGCTACTTGGTTCAATCCTCGGCTTCTGTATTTATATTTCATCATCATCATCATCATCAACAGCTTTTAATAGTCCACTGCTGGACATAAGCCTCTCCTTAGAAAGGAGGTTTTGGCCTACTATACCACGCTGGCCTGACGGGTTGGTATTGGGTTTGTGTCAAGTTCCTTCTCTCTACAGTGTTGTTGTTCTGCGTAGTTTTTTCCCTTAGTTGACTATTACAACACCCACGGGATGAATAGGGGTGGTGAAAATCTGTATTCTTAATCCGTCACCACACGGTTTAATATTTATTATTATCTGTATTATTTTCTGAATTAACAGTACTTTCAGTCATATGTTACATATATGTATTTATTTAATAACAGTAGTTAGTAAATAATAACATATTTATCTCTGAAGATACTGAACTAATCTTAAATTTGTAGAACCAAAATTACAAATGATAACGTAGAAAATCCAAATTTTACAATTGGCATGCAGGAGTTTTGCGTCCATTTTTACGTTATTAAAGTAAAAGGGCGACGTCACTCTCAGTTTAAAATGCTGTGAAAGAATATGAAAATATTACACAAAATAAAGTAATAATTGGATTTCCTTGAAAGCACTGATACAAAGAGCCATGACAAAATACACTTGTATAAAATCTCGCAAACTTTCAATTTTCAACAAAAGTTATGTTTTTGTTTGAATCTCATTTCCTTTTGTAGCTTATAGGAAACATCGTACCTAAATCCGCCCTTTACCTACTCGTCTACCGATTTAAGTTGGGTAAACATGTATTAAAAAAACTACCTAGTTAGCCTCACTATCTTCCTACAATATACCCCAATATGTATGTATGATAAGTTAAATTTGTATCATCAGACAACAAAACGAAATTAATGCAGATTACAATAGTGCAAAATGGCATCGCTGGTTAGTAAACGAAGGTTGTAAAGACCTTGAAATATGTAACAAATTCACTAGTAAATCATTTCTGTCTTTACCAAACAAAGGAAGATCGCACCTGGACCTTGATCCTGAACGTTGCATAAACCTCACCTTGCTTACAACTGCGATACATAAATTTTCTCTTGTCAATTGTTTGTCAATACCACTATAGTGTTAGGTAATTGCCTGCTAATAAAACATTTACAAAACATTTTTCAGCCTTCCTGAAGTTATAGCAACCTCGTATAACAGATAGTACAATCGCCTCGGACATGTCGAAGGTCTAATGAGCTTGTTGGGAATACAGTTGCAGAACACAAGTATAATTTGCAAACTGGAAAATGTTAGCATTTGTTTTATACCGTCCCAAGAAAATCTAATATATAAAAATTACTATTTGTTCATATTCTATGTGCTGCCATGTTCATGATGCATTACATACATACATTTACATACATACGAGTATTGCCACAAATTATGGCTACTGAGAAGGGTTCTTTTATCCAGAAAATAAAGTACTGGTTCCGAGTGATCGAAAAGTTACTTTTTCGCATGCGAGGTAGCGGGCAATAGCTAGTATATAATGTTTTTCAAATTTCCCGTATATACAATAACGCCTTCATTTGTGGGAATCTCTTATAAAATAGTTACGTCATAGCGGGCAAGTCCCATCCATTGACGAAGTTTCATATTAAAACATCACATCGATGTGTCATTAGACTCATTTGCATTTTATTACATGTTTAATGCTACTTTAATGTTAATTTAACTGACTCATAGGCAATATGATTGAGAAATTATTTGCATTCAAGCAGGTAGCGTTTAGCTCAATTAAATAGTAACGATAGCTACTTAGCTACCTACCTTGCCGTAATTTTCTAGCTTTAAATAGTGGAATTACTCAGAGCTCACATCACAAACATTTGTTTACTTATTTATTTACAATAAATGTATGAAATAAATTAACATTGATAGGCGCCATTTTTAACGGGCATAAGGATGTCCACTGAATTCGCCGTGATGAATCTAACGAATGAGACCGGACAAGATTACAAGTGTACAAAAATCTTTACTAAATAATCATGTCATTGTTTATATCGGATACGCGTTATTATCGCGAAGTTTGGTATCCTAGTAGTGTAGCATGCGCTTAAAAGTCTGTGAAATAGTATATAATAATAATAACAATAGTTTCGTACATCCAACACACAACCCCATCTAGTTTCAAACCAAGCTGAGCCTGTACTATGAAAGCTAGATTGAGTTTATACTTAAATACTTTTTTTTTGCATACATACATATTATATATAGAAAACACCTAAACTCCGAAACAAATATTTGCAGGTCATACAAACATTTAGGCCGACCCGGGAATCGAACCCGCATACGCTACCACTGCACCGTCGGTGGCAGTCGATAACTTTTTCGCAGTCGTAAAATACAAATATATTTTTTCATGAACGCTTTTTATTGTTTATTTAAACTGTTACAAGTTTCTTAATAGCTCACAATAAAGAGTGTATAAATAAATAGCTAAAAAATTGCACTCAATATCTAAAACAATCTAAATCTGCTAATCTAACACAAGAAATTGCCCAAAATATGAAAAACTTTGAGAATAGTATCTCTTATTAGGAAAAACAATAAGATAAATAGCAGTGTTTATCATTCTTTTGTTGTAAAATAAATATTATCGACAAATAATCATGCTAATAGTTTAATACGATGTGTTACTATTATAGTAGTATCTATTTTTTTTTTGTAGTGAACCATTTCTGGCCACGATATATCTATATACATATATCGATATATCGTAATTACTGTATCGCTGATAATAAATTCTAATCGCATCGCATCAGGCAACCCTAGGTCAAACTGTTTTTTCATAGATGGCAAGAAGAATACTTAAAGGCATTTAATCGCATGTCAATTAAGAGCAAAATGCGCACATATGTATTAAAATTTAAATAAAACTTCCATAAAATATGTAAGCAAGTTGTATAAGCACACAATGAAATGTAATCAATATTTTTTAGTTTAATATCATGTTAAATTATAGCTAATAATACTAGTCTGAACTGGCTCTTATCTAACATTTGTAAATGTAGGTGATAAGTATAATTGACATAATTTATAAGACTCGCCACTTTGTAAAGGCAAACGTTTACAAGAAGCAAGAAATCATTGTTAGTGATGTGAAGGTCCGGAAATTCAAACGTCCGCCGGTCGGATGTAGGGCGCCAATAAAGGCTGGCAACTATTTTAGCCTATACCTATACTCGTACTTTTATTATATTAAAATATGCAATGTTTATAAGAATTGGGTACATGAAGTAGATTAGAAATATAACATGAACTCTTTAAACAAAAACAAAAAACAACGAATAATTTCGTTGATTGTGACTACTATGATAGAAATAATCTGTTACATCTGTATTTATATCTATTTATATCCTTACACAGTATAAAGTGAAGTCGCTTCCCTTTCTTGTCACATCACACATCAACAGCCTTTAATAGTCCACTGCTGGACATAGGCCTCTCCTTAGAAAGAAGGTTTTGGCCTACTATACCACTCTGGCCAGGCTGGTTGGTATAGGGTTTGTGTCAAGTTTTCCGTCTTTTTGCAGTGCTGGTGTCCTGCGTTGTTTTGCGCCCTTAGTCGGTTCTTACGACACCCACGGGATGAATTGGGGTAGTGAAATTCCGTATTCTTAATCCGTCACTACACGGACAACGGGTGTCTCGCTCTTCTCGGGAAGTTGATTCTATATGACGTAAAATGATTTACTTGACAATTTCTCTTAATCCCTTTCTTGTACTAATACAAAATAAACATTTGTTTATAACCATGCTCACCGTGTGTGTTCTAATTATTTCGTATATATAAGTAGTTAAATAATTATTCGTTTCATGTAGTAGTAAAGATTAAATATAAGGTAAAATTTATCGAAAATAAAACAGGCAACGTTATTATAGAGTATGTTGCTGACCAATGTACTAATGTTCATGACATACGAGTATCTATCTATCTAATGAAATTTCAAGTTTGGTTATGCTGTTGCATACTTATTTTTATTATCTTCTATTAAAACAGCTCCTCAATTATAATCAATTACAATACCCACCAATTTTCATCTCTTAATTTTTCACCTTAGAGGTAGAAATTGTTCAAGTTACAATAACGTTATGTCAACATGCAGGTATGGTAATTGGTGTAGAGGTCTACTAGTAGTTCGTCATATGCATTGTAACGAACATAAATTGCGTAACGGTTCGCTCGCGGGTTGCCTGCGATGTATTTATTGTTGAAAAGTTTCAGTGGCCTTCTATGGTTTTCATCATCAGTGCCACCTTACAGCAAATATACGAATAACTTTAAAAATACTCATATCCCTTCCTCATATGCTTGTCATTTTTAAAGACTTCCGACTTCAACACGTGATCTGACTATGGGGCCAAACTAGACAACATTTACAAACAATAAAGATTTGTTTTTCTAATCAGGCTATCTTTCTTCGAACAATCAGATAATCTTATATATAAAATTCTCGTGTCACAATGTTAGTTACCATACTCCTCCGAAACGGCTGGACCGATTTTTATGAAATTTTGTGTGCATATCGGGTAGGTCGGAGAATCGGCCAACATCTATTTTTCATACCCCTGAATGATAAGGGTACCCACCCCTAAATATTTATTTTATTTTATTCAAAATTTGCCGAGTCAGCTAGTATTCATATAAAAGTTAAAGCTCTAATAAACTGTTATCAATTTAATAAGTTGAAAAACTGTTGTAAATTTAAATTATAAAAAAAAAACTTGTGTTTAGATATTCTTGAATAATTTATTCAGAAATTCATACTTAACACCCAAATGACGTCTTTTCGTCAAAAAGATTATGTTACTCATATTATAAATTTATTTTGAACACGTTCTGTTTATTGATAAAAAGTAATTCAGCTAATGAGGTCATAGTCTACTCATCGAAGCTTATCAATTTAAGAAGACGTAATTAAAGACACGCTTTCATAGCGTTTTGCTTTAGAAAACAAATACAATACAAATATTATTATTTTTTATTAAAAAATATTGAACTGATAAGAAAAATGTTCTGAATTTGCTGGTATGTTTGTGGGAATAATTTCTAATAACATTTAACAATAAAATGTAGCTGCACGTATCCGCAGACTCGGAAGTAACAAACACATGTACATAAAATATGTGTTATACGTTACTATTGCGAGTGTTCCGATTACCTAATTATAATACAAATATGTATTTTTAATACAAATTTTAACGTCGTCGAATATATAATTTAAACTTCAGTATCAAAATGAGTAATAGTTACTGGTTGCGAAATATCACCATAAATATTTATTTGAAACTTGCATGTTTACAAACGTCAATATATGAACACGAATTTAACAAATTTAATACGAGTAGAGGGTATGCGACCCTGACGCTATTACTTACACTGCCCATTGCATCGACACCGTATCGCGTTCAATTTGCACCAAATCTGTCTCACAGGTTTTTGATTGCGTGATTTTTTTGCTCCTGCGCGGATAGTCTTTTATACAGATCCTATGTGTCACAGAATTTTGTGAAAATTAAATTGCGGTGAAATATCGCTATGCGGACGGCCCCTCAGTAGGACTATAAGTAATTATCGTCAAAATGTGGACGGGCATTTACTACGCCTTTGTCTAGTTTTTCCATATATAGACTTACGTGTACGTATGTATTTAACAACATTGAGTCTTATTACCTGCGTGTATTTGTGTTACATTATAATGTTTTTTTTTCTATTATATTACATATTGATGTAAATTGTCCAAAAACCTTACAGATCTGTAGGAAAATGTGGTGTCAGTCATAGGAACATTAGTTCCTAAGCAATGACAACATAAAGGAATATAAACGCTTAAAATAAGCCTCTTAGATTTGATTACTATATGAGTAGCCTTAAAAATAAGTATAAACCGAAACGTGTAGTTTTTATATTTATTTCAGTTGAATACACCCGCGGTGAATCTCCGCATGTGTTGGAAACGGGTACATACACGCAGACTGGTAACGCTCCGCACATAGCTCTCTCACCAAACGCAGAAGTCCTAGCTGTCTCCGTCGATTCCTCCGTAGAATTCTACGACACGTACACCGGGAAGCTGTATGACACCGTTGAAAATGTTTATTCTGGTAAGTGCTTTTATTTTAGTTAAAAGTCGCGAACAGCAAGAAGTGTTGTTTAAAACACTTGCCACGTGCGTATTTGTTAGCCTTCTCTGCTATCCAACATACGCCAGTACTCCCTTATTACATTAAGAGAAAAGTGTTACTAGTATAGTAGTTTCATTTATTACTATATTTATGCTAATAGTATTTTACCTGATGATACATTTGGTATCACGAACATTGTAATAAATAGCAATTAAAGAAGAGTGACAGTAAGATTTTATTGTTGCTACTTTCTTTTCTCAGGTGCGTCACTCATTGCATTGATGACAGTAAAATAATGTAGATCCCCATTTTTTAATCTAGTATTACTTAGTTTGTGTAAATGACTTAACCTTTGGAAAGTTTTTATTATAACTATCTTAAATTAATAAATAATAAAAAACAAAATAGTAGTTATTAGTATAGTTTTGAATAAACAAATTATTTAATACTTAAAACTGTATGTATAACTAAATAAAGTTTGCGTTTAAAGGAAAGGTAGGGAATCTTTCTAATTATCGCAATCGGCGACGGGAAGCAGCGTCCTTGACACTGCACTTAACACACTCGTTACACTCACGAACTACGCGATTTCTATTCACCGACAACGCAGCTATTTCTGGTAGTTTTTACGATAGCAACAAATGATGCTACTACATAAATATGATTAAAGTGAGGACCAGGTGCAAAGTAAAATGGATTACTGATCCTTCGGAGCCTTCTCCATTTGAAAACCTCCATCCTAAGTAGGTACAATGCTTCCAAAGAACACTAAGTACTTACATATTGTTGGAACGTAGTTCCTTATCGCGCGTTGTGAAAGGGGGCTAGACGGAAAGTTGTAACGACACTTTTTATGTCAGTCATTCAGCGCCATCTATCGAATAGATAGGAAATCATTTCTCAAGGAGATTTTAGGAGGACCAATGTATAAATTGTTTTAATTAGAAACCAACTGAGAAATATGTAGGTAATAGCCGCTTTCATAGATGGCGTTGTAATTAAAATCGTGTCGAATCAGTTTTACTCGATCGTCACAACTTCGTTCCTATCGGGTGTCCCACGAGGTGTCGTGGCACACGGCTTTTTATATCGATAGAGAGGGTCAGCTCCGTGCAAATCTTCTTGCGGTCTTGAAGCTGCAACCTGAACCTTTATGATCAAAAAGTGTGCTTGTTGGCTCTTTAGTAGTATAAACAATTTAGTTGATGAGCGCTTGTCAGTAAAAACGTAATACAAATACGGAACAACAGACGCCAAGGTTCATTGGTGCAAGGTCAGATGATTAGCTACGTGCAAATATAATGATAATTACCGATGATAGTGTCGAACTATTATTAAACAATTTGATTTTTTTGCGTTGAAATTATATTTTGAGTTAGTACCTATTGAAGCGTCATACTAACTAAAACTGGGCCTTATTGGCTTAGTCCAGATCAGTTACTAGCGTGAAGATTGTATGTTGTAGACACATACGGTATTAATAAAAGTATGTCTTGGTTGTCAACATTGTCAACTCAACTCAAAATGCTTCGAGAAAGTGATAACCCAAATCATTCTTAGTTCTTTGACCAACTGAGTTTACCTATTCCAATTTACTCTACTTTTCTTAAATAGTTTAATTAAATAGGGTTTTTAGGGGCGGGGGGAGGGGGTGACAACACGTGCGTAAACTGCGCGATACTCTGTGTTGCAAAATATCTACACTCTGCGGTCTGGATTGAATCAGGCAAGATGGGCGTTTTTAGGAGCCGAATCCTAAGGAGTACATTTCCTTGTCACATTAGTAATATATTAAAGTTATTTGACATAAAAACTCAACGTGGTTGAATACATTTTCGAATATTTGTAATGAGTAATTGTTTAATAAATTTAAAATTAAAAATATTTCAAAGTATAGTGGGTTCGTAATAAGATTGCCAGTGCTCTAGTTCTCAGAGAACTCCTAGTATTGTAAGTGGTTACTGTAACGGTAACTGTCTAGTACATTTGGACAATAAACGTTAATTTTTAGGCTTGCAAACATTGTTTTTGCCTTTGCTAAACCATGTTTGCTTATGTGCCTATTTAGAAACTACAATAGTAGCATTTAAATGTTATCAGTACTGCATATCGCCAGTTAAAATCATAAATTACACACTATATTACGTTTATGAATTAAGTAACAATTAAATCGTAGTACTTTATGTGGCACAATCGGAAATACTAGGTTCTGTAGCAGTACATTTTAATTTAAATATAAAAATATTACGATTATGTTATTGTAATGTTATTTGAATATTATCGAGACCTTCGTCAATAAGTCTGTGTCACGACAAAAATATCATAAAATTCTTGTTTATCATGCTTGCGTAAAGTTTGCATGTTATGTAAATTCTTATTTATTTTAATTTTTATAACCACCAGTAATTATAGTATCTAATGCCACTACAACAAGCTATCAAAATGCCATCTCAAGTTATCACTTGCATGGGCTTATTTAGATCCCTGGCAAACTTTACTCGTGTCGTCGTATGAAAACTTTTTAGGGGTACATGCCTATGTAATTGCTTTGTAAAATATATGTAGTCATTATATAGATTCTTCTAAGCAATTTACATAGTTATACGTAACGTACGTAAGTTATTCTGTTTGCACTGTTTTTGCTCTTAAAGCTTGCTGTTCTATTCAATAATTTTATATCTGATTATAAACTTTAGTAAAAATCATTTAACAGTAAAAAAATCTTCGCTCTTCACAGTAGCATTCGTTTTACGCGTTGAACTAGTTTAGTTATACTTTATTAAAAACCGTGGAAAAAAAGTGAAGGGAGGAAGGGTACGTTAGAGTTCTCCTATGGCAACTAGATAGATCAGCTCAAATGTATAAAACATTATAGTTCTTTACAAGCATTGGTAACTCTTTACCGTCAGTTATTTTGGGTGCTTCTTTACGAATTCGGTGTTTCTTTTCGCGGCGGTGACTTGTCTGTACAAATAGCCAAATAGGTGATATCCATCTGGTAAAGCATTGCTAAGACTTGGACAACTTAGACAAGGATGGAGGTAGAGATTACAAGTATTCAAGTAATGTGACTGACGGTTTCTAATAGTCCAAAATAGTTTTACGCTATTGAATTTAATCATAAGTAATGATGAAAGTTATAACACATACGAGTACCACTAGAAGTTAAAACTCGTATCGTTATTTTATAAAAAAACAACGCTAATTATACTTGCTAATGAATACCCAAAAGTTACTGATACAAAAAATAAATACTAGACACCATACTATTCAATTTGGCTATTAATTAACGCGTGATTTTCTAATTTTCTAATATTATTTTTGTATAGGTATGTAAACTATATTGCATTATATGCATTCAATTTGTTTAGCAAGGAAGTCAAGAAATCGTCATGGCATACAGTTGCGAAGCAATTACGAATGCGCGCAACCATCGATCTAAACGCCATGGATAATTTAGCGTTTCCGCAATAGAGCCTTGTAGTAGCGTTGCTGAACCTACTTTGTTACACAGTTTTGGATACGACGCTCTTCGAATTATCTTCTTTGTTTATACGTATAAGGCGACAAACGATTAGGACAGACTGAAACATAATCCTTGGTTACAAAACGAAGGTCACTTAATGTACGTTCCGCGTTACTATCTGTTCTAGTATTTTTGTAATAAATACTAAGGACATTTATGACTAAACAAAAGCCTAGTTGTTTGTTAACTAAGCTACTAGTGTATATGAGTTAATAAGTTTCCGTATGTTTTAAAATTCGAGATAATAGCGATAGCGCAGTTTCAATAAATTCGACATTGAACCTAAACAATTGTTTGAAAAATTCACGTCAATTAAGTAAATTACGAACTGGATTAATCAGACAATTAATGGTAATGAACATTTTATTTGAAAGTTTTTTTTTATATATCGAGACAAAAGGCTGTTATTGATCACCTGTCTTAAAAGGCTCTTCGCCAACCTCTAAGTTAGAGCTTGGTGAAATATTCTTGCATATTTTAATTTATAACTAAAATGGATAGTATGAGACATTTGATTCCTCTAAGGTGGCGAACAAGCATGCAGCCTTACCAACTTTTAAAAGTTTGAAATATTAAAAAAGGTGACGCGATGACGTAGGAGACACGTGATGTCGTACGCGCTGAACCTTTCAATATCCCTTACTTGTAATAATAGAGAAACATATTATTTCAAGGATTACAAGGATCCACTTCCATCTAAAATTGATAAGTTACTTCTCATCATCTTCGTCTCCATCATCATCATTTTGTTTTGGAAAATTCGGCGAACTTGTCTATCAATCATCACAACAGTTTAGTTGCTATTGCGATGTTTAAATATCGAAAAACAAAATGTAAAATTATATTATCTTTGTTTTTCTTACAGGTCTTATCAACTACATGAAGTTTGATGCAAGCAACAATTATTTGTTCGTGTGTGGTGACCGCGCCGTGAGAGTCCTGCACAATGTTTGCGGTTACCAAACCACTATAGATAGTTGCACAAGACTTCTGAGCTCCAAGCAAACTTCGGCCACTATGGAGCGACTGAATAAAACCATCAAAGAGTGCAAAGAAACTCTCGCCAAGTTCGGCAAATAGCATCGTAACTACAATTGATACGATAAAGACTAAATATTGTCGAATTGCATTTATTATTCGTATATATTTTGATATATTTTTATGACTACATATTGTCTATTGTCACTTGTTCTATTGTCAATGTTGCTAGAGTTAACTACTTCTTAGAAGAATATTAAGTTTGGATTATGTAAGTAAAGATAATTACTTGAAGGATGTCGGTATGCATGAATTATTAAAATCTAGGATACGAGTATATCGCGAATAGTGTAACGTTAAACTTAGATTTGTGTCGGTTATTTATTATCCAAATTCTAATTCAGTATTTATTTTGTTAACTTATTAATAGTAAGAATAATTAGTTAGTGATAAAAAATTGGAAGTAAAAATATCGAGTCAAAATAAAATATTAGTTGGTTATATTATATAATTGATATATTTCTCGCTGCTCAGTTGTATTCTCTAGAACCCAAGACTTCGGAGCCTTCAGATCGAGTAAATAAAAATGAATATTTGATTGTATCGCCCGACTTTAATTAGTTTTTCGCTATGTATCTGATTATAATGATTCTTTACTGATTCGTTATGCGTATTGGTCGAATTCCATAAAAATAAAGGGTTATTAGCTTGTGCAAGCTGAGTCTGCAGTCTCCTCTTATAGGAAGAGGTTTTATTTTGTATTTGCACATTTTTATCAAAAGAACCATTACTAGTAGCATTAATGTGAACCAGTATACTAATTGATGCTAATTTGAGTTCTAAAATAAATGTTCCAAGTTCAATACTTGATCTATGTTTAAAAATATTTTAGAAAATGTTTTATATCTAACTATTAAGTCCTATTTGAGTCACTAAATTTCTATTTATTACATTTAAAGTCATTTGGTTTATGATTTAAAAGTGATCTGGCAACTTTGACGATAAAGAAACTATTTTTAAGTGTAGAATAGTGTTACTATTGATCACAGAAAATTTACGCAATAATCTCGGTCCAATAATTTGATAGGTTCTGATATTATAGCTAATTACCACAATTTGTTAATTAATTAGATAGTTGCATGACTGGCGGCAAAATGTGTGTTAGTAATGTGTGTTCGGATAACAGTAAAGATCATTTGCATGGTAATTATAACTGCTCTTGACAGACCACTACATAATGAAAATAAATGGACTTACGTAACTTAAAAATGACTGAGATATCACTTTCTTGAATAATTAATTTTACTTGTTATTGTGTAATTTTGTATAACGCAATGGTTCCTATTCTTTTAAATGGTCGGCTCTAAGATAACGTCCTTTAATTGTGTTAACGTGATTTTGTGTAGACCGAGATTGTTGAGGTTTTCGTTTATTAACAATTTGTAATGTTTATTGAAAAACTATATTTCAGGTGCTCCCTGGAATGAGCCGGATCTTTTTCTTGCAAATATCTATTATAGTTATTTCGGGATTTGTTGCACGAGGCAAAACAATTACCAATCATTTATCGTTTTGGTTGGAAAGCCAAGAGTTTTCTACTCAATTAGTTTGTAGGAGCTAATGCTACAGGCTCAGTATTGTCTTTCAAATAAATCTGAAGAGCTTCTATAAAGCCTTTCAATTACCAATGTCATACTACTCAAGCTCGAACCGTGATTAATCATATGTTTGATAGTTTCCTTAACATTCCGTAAATTGATAATTATAAATTTGCAATATCTTGAAGTAACAACAACTAAAGGTTTCCAACCAAGACTACGTAAATACCGTACAAATTGTTACGAATTATTAGATCTATTGATCGTAGCCGTGTTGATGTGTGACGTGGCCCTTGCTCGATACTGTTTTATAATGTATAATATGTCGTGCAATCGAGTGAAGTAGTTTTATTTTTATTCATGACATTATTTTATATACGTTTGATTTCAAGTTGTTTGTCTCAGAAATTCTTAATTATAGTTTTAGTTATGTAACTACTGATTTCTCAATAAAATATATCTTTATAATTTTATGTTTTTTTTAAATACACAATTATGTGTAATGGCTTTTACTCAGGATAGTTTTCACATTTTTAGTAAGAGTTCAACGCACGGTTTACATATAAAAATAATTTTATTACATACCAGATTCATAACGGTTCTGACATGAGCCGGTTTATTTTTACCAGTAATTTTTTTTAAAGTAGGCATTCTGTGTTATATATATACCTATTTATGTGTTTAATATGTGCACTTCTTAACGAAAAAATGAACGATGATCTTATGGACCCGATTAATTTCATCGATGTAAATGAAATTGATGCCAAACTAAAATCGATACCATTTTCGCATAGCTAAAGTATTAAAACTTTTGGGAGCTACAGGTAGAGTTTTATTTGATTTAATTACCTATTTATTAAGACTCTCTAACAATTGTGTATCATCAATAGCTTTTAATAGTCCACTGCTGGACATAAGCCTCTCCATAGAAAGGAGGTTTTGGCCTACTATACCACGCTGGCCAGACGGGTTGGTATAGGGTTTGTGTCAAGTTTTCCTTCTCTCTGCAGTGCTGTTGTTCTGCGTAGTTTTTCCCTTAGTCGGCTCTTACGACACCCACGGGATGAATAGGGGTGGTGACACTCTGTATTCTTAATCCGTCACCACACGGACACGGACAATTGTGTATTTACCAAAATATTATACATATACGCAATTCGAAATTCAAATAAATTTTATTCGAAAGCTATGTTATTTTAATTTAAAATTCAGTCATTTGTTTTTGTGAAATTGTGATAGTTTTTGGCGCCAATGTCAAACTGATAATTCATATAATTTTCAAATATAAGTTCCACAACAGTGACGGCAGATGTCTATTGCCAAGAATTGTAAATAATGATGGAGAAGCTCGCAATTCAACAAACACGACTGGTCAACCGCTCTTCCCCATTGATTCTCCACAACGCGCGAGCTCACACTTGACGATAGACCATCGCAAAGCTACAAGAGTTGCAGCTGGAAGCTTTCCGTCACCCACCGTACTCACCGGACCTTGCCCATATAGATTTCAAAATAAAGAATGTTTCAAGTAGGAATAAATTAACAACCGACAGCAGAGAGTCCAGCAGACTTCTGCAGGGATAAACAAACTGCCATCAAAATGGCCAAAAATAAATCAAGTTTTTATATATTAAAATTTTCATACAAATCTCCAACTTCATAGGTCCACCATAGTGTAACATTGGCAGACACCATGTATTATTACAAAGAAAAAATAATAGTATTAAAAATGTAGTTGCAATAAAACCTACTATAAACAAAAAAGAATAAAAAATTGATCAGGTCAAAACTTTCTGGCAAAGTGTTTATGTATAATATTGTTCTTTGTGAAAAAGAAATTTCACTTTGTGGTATGCAACCATTCGTTATTATCTGGAAAGTTTTAATTACATACTTACTTCAATCATGTTGTTTGGCGACACTGGTCCTCGCAGAAACTAAACATAGGGATATTTCCCCACATTTTTATTCCGTCTGTGGAACTCATGACACCGAATGTTATTATTCGGTGTCCAAGGGAAAATTACATGCCATAGCTCAGTATCATTTGTTTTTTATTTAAAATAAGAAGACTGCGCTTTTCAAGGATCAGGTATAATTATTGTGATTTCGACATTGTAATTTGTTTGGAACAAATTGCAGGCGAACTGTTACTGTTACCTCTATCTTTTAAAGCAAGAACAAATTTAAAAATGATTCAGTTTTTACTTCGAAAACACGGTTTGTATCATCATATACCCGCTACGGGTTCGATAACCCCCTGAAATCCATACATTTATATAACTAACAAACAGTTGGTTTAAGTCTCTGTTGATAATATTACTATTTGTTCGGTGTTATTAATGTATCCAGGTGATATTTTGCATAATAATAACCTTTAAGTGATAAAGACACTTAATACCTAGCTATTTCGTACCTACTTCAATTGCTTACGTCTAGACTCTACGGTGATACATTAAATGGAAATACCGTTAATTTTTACACTTAAACACAATTATCTGTTTTTCTGTATATAATTCTTTCAACTCGTGCTTTTGTCGGTACAGGTATTTACCACTCTTTCTGGAACCAGCGCATAGGATAGCATCAAAATACATAAAATACTTTACTATATCATGAAATATTCACGTAGGTATCTACCTAATATCGGTTGCCGCCTCTAAAAGTGGCAAGGACCTCCATTGTAAGTAAGTACCTATTTAAAAAACAGACAGAATTATCTTCGCCAAATAGATCGATGTTACATTGGACTGAAATGTTGTAATATTGTACGGCTCTACATTTTATTCGCAGTTCTTTCCAGCGCTGTTGTTGACCAAAGATCATAGCTCATTAGAGTTACCCGGCCCCTGAGCACCGCCTCGCATCGAGTGGTTAGTAAATATTCTTTGTATGGAGTACTATGTGCCTTGTATGGTGTGTGTGCGAGTGGTTCACCGAGGACGATGCATCGGCGGCACACCGCTCCCCCTCGAACTTGTCTGTTGTATAGTTTTCTGGTAAACAACCGTAGTGTTAAATCGGTTGCGAGTTCCGACTTATTACTTACTTACTGAGGAAAAAAGTATATATTTTTAACACTACGGTATGACATTCAACGAACATTCGCAAGTCTATCTGTCTGTTCCTCTATCGCATACAATTTGTTTTGAATCTAATACCTACTTTAGGGATTTGGCATATAACAATTAATAAATAAAAATGCGAACTGTGACATAATTTTAAATGAAAGGGCTTATTGTGGGGGTAAAAACGTGCTTTTAAAAATTTTATGATAAATATTTTTAAGTATGATTTTACACTTTATTTTTGATCTACACAAAATGGGCCAAGTTTACTATCTACGTTAAATAATATGTTATTGTTATAAGCTGTCTCTCTTAAGATAAATAATATCTTTTATTTTATATATCCACCTTCTCGAAATATACATGACTATGACGCTGTCACGTTAAGGCAGTGTAAATTCTTGGTTCGACTTTTAAACTTTTAAAAATAATTAAA